GAGAGAGAGAGAGAGAGAGAGAGAGTTTTTCTTCTTCCTCTTCTAAGTCCACCATCTCTTCTTCACCCTCTCACTACCTGACTTCTCAGTATCAACGGATTACGAGAGAGAGAGAGAGTTGTGACTTGAGACTTGACGACATTGGATCCAGACTCGACATTGGGATTCAGACATTTTGACGAGGGGACTTTGGGACAGACATTTTGATGAGGGACTATTTGGGCCTGTGCCAAAGACTTGGTGTTGACGACATTCCCATCTTCCCCTCTTCTTCGTCTAACCCTCCTCTTCTTCGTCTGTGTATGGTTGGGGCTGGCGCATTCTTCCTGTGTGAGCGCCAGACCCCTTCACACCATGGAGTGATGATGATGATGTATGTTCGGGGCTGCACTGCAATATTGATTGTTCGGATCATTGGTATCTAAGTCTTCCGCTCCGCTATCTTGTACTTTGTGAGAGAGGTCGGTTCTTGTTCTGGTCTGCACCGTTACAGTATGCAACAGTTCGGTATCGGAGCGGACCTCTCAATCAGAGGACCCGCTCAATCAATAGCCAGCTTGCTTGATCTATTGATTACTCATTAGTAAATCAAGTAGGACTTCGTCAAACCTCTGGAAAAAAAAAGTTATCGCAACAAATATCTGAAAATTTCTGATAATCGCATTTCGTTTTACCTGAAATTTCTTATATTAGTATTTCGTTTTCACGCAACAAATATCTGAAAATTTCTGATAATCGCATTTCGTTTTATCTGAAAATTCCTGATAGTAGCATTTCGTTTCTCTGATATTTGCATACATAGCTGAAAATTTCTGATGTTACATTTCGTTTTCTATGCATATTAGGATAACGATAGAAGTGGTCATATTCTCGGAAACCGGATTTATTCTTTTTTGAAAATCGAATCTCCATTCTATCTCGCAATTTTTTTTTGAAAACCGAAATCTTGCGAAGCCTACCAGCATTTCATTAGGCATATTAGGAGGTTGTTATATTCTCAAAAACTGGATTTAGTTTTTTTCTGAAAATCGCATCTCTAGATTCTCTACTCTATTTCGCAAAAAATTTTCAAGATCGCATTTTTGTGAAAGCCGAAACTTTGCGGAACCTAGCCTAGATCTCGCTCATAGTACTCTTCTGACATGCCTCACCCATAACAGGTTGACATATACACAAAAAAAAAAAAGAAAAAAAAAAAGGAAGTAGTCCTCTTTTTTTTATTTTTATTTTTATTTATTTATCTGTTGATTAGGGCCGGGAGGAAAGTATTGCTTGGTTGGTTACCTACCTGCGTTTTCCCTCCCACCCACCCCTTTGCTTGCATTCCCGACTGCGTACAATGCCACGTCAGCAGTGCCATGTCAGCAACAGTGCCACGTCAGCAGTGCCACATCAGCAACAGTGCCACGTCAGCAGTGCCACGTCAGCAACAGTGCCACGTCAGCAGTGCCACGTCAGCAGTGCCACGTCAGCAGTGCCACGTCAGCAACAGTGCCATGTAAGCAGTGCCCCGCCACCATGACGGGCCCAGCTCTGGGCATGCCAGGCCAACTGGCCAACGAGTCCATTGCCGAGTACCGACAGCGGTCCCAGGCTCAACTCGCACTGATCGAGGCTGAGGAACACCGCCACGTGGCAGTCGAGGTTGTCCGCCTACAGGCTGAAGCGGCGGCAAAAGCTGAATAAAGCAGACACAGATACCCAGGCACGCCGAAAGGAAGCCCAGGATCTGCTGCACCGGCACGAAGCTGCCAGCATCGAAAAACTCAAGTTCTGGCACTTTGAACCATCCGAAGAGCACGACGACGAGACACCGGAGGAGCAGCACAAGGAATTCATGGCCAAGCTCATGACCCGGTTGGTCTACACTTGTAACCACCTGCAGTCCGAGCTGGCGATTCTCCGACGGGCAATGCAGAGCCACAAGGATTTGCACGAGGATGCTATACGGGCACTTCATTCCCGTGTACAGGACTTGGAGCAAGTTGCACCAAGACCGAATGTTGGCGAGACCAACAGTGCACCCTCTACCCGTCAATTGGAGGAACGAGTTGACCACGTAGTCGCAATGCTCAGCGACATCAGTACCTTCGCTGCACCAGCCACCATCAGCAATCAACTGGACACCTTGAAGACCGAGGTTCAGCAACTGCAACAGCTGCCTAACAACACCACGCAGCATTACAAGATGTCGACATTCCAAATCGAGAAGTTCGATGATTACACGCATCAAGACCCGGTCATCTGGTGGGAGGGCTTTACGACGCAACTTCGGATTATGTTCGTCCCCAAGCACTTGTACATCCGCGCGCTGTTCCTCAACTCAAAGGGCGGATGCGAGATCTGGTTGAGCCACCTGGCGACCGTCCACGGCGTCGACGTCGCAGATCTGAAAGATAAGATCTCTTGGGAAGAGTTAACACGGCTATGGAAGAAGCGGTTCATCGTGGACGACGCCCCGACGCTCGCCATCAACCGCCTCTTCGCTATGACGCAAGGCAACACAACGACACGTGACTGGCTCATAGAATGGCAAAAGATCGCGGCGACACCGGATCTCGAATTGCCATTTTCGCACCTGCGCCGGGAGTTCTACAACCGGTCATGTGCCGCCTTGAGCCTTGCACTTGGTGATCGCGAGCAATACGCGACCTTCACCGAAATCATCGACAAGGCAAGGGAGATCATCAAGACCAATAGGGCAGCTGCACACGAGAAATCGGCATGGCAGCCAACCTATGTGGAGAAAGGAAAATTTGGTCCGCGTTCGCAGCATGTCGCTGCAGTCCACACAGACAACATTGTGGAAGACCCGGCAGCCACCCAAGCATCACGTGAGGGAGATCAGGTGGTTGTTGTCCAGCCGCGAAGCAACAACAAGTCCCAAGCGAACGGGAAGGTGAAAATCGCATCGCCGACCGAGAACGGACAACCAGCACCATGGGTCAAGTTTCACTTGACCGAGGCGCAATACAAGTGGCGCGGCCGCTAAGGCTGCTGCTATTGGTGCAACAACACCAAGCACAAGACCTCCCAATGCCCGGATCAAGGCAAGGAGGATGTTCGGCCTCGCATCAACTCGGGAAACTGAGTTGCGCAGGAGGTGAGGCGACTCCACCTCTCACTCCGCCAGATTCGGCCGCCTTGCTAGCGGCTCCTACATATCTGGGGAGGATGCGAATGTCGCAAGTCCTTGGTTCACTTACGAGGACTATGCTGTCCACTTGGTCCCACCGTTGGACCAACCACTCCACGTGCAACAATCCACCGCATGCACGGTTTCACTACCATCGACAACCGAGTCGGCAGGTTGGTCGCCATCTATAGCCGGGGATTCGACGACATGGTCAAGACTTGAAGAGCTCGACCCGTTGACGTTTGCGGACTTCCAATGGATGTCCCTTCCCCGGTCCGGTCGATTGCCGAAACCGCATTGCAACGTGCTCATGGCACAATTGCGGGATTACTTGCACACTGCAGTACCAACTTCATTGATGGACGCCAGAGTAGAGGTTGTCGACCTTCACGCCTACATTGCGAAGATCGACCGCGAGTTCAGGACACAACGGTACGACGACATCGACGCACCATTGTTATATGTACGCATTCAAATCAGAGAGGCGACCTGCAGCGCTTTGATCGATTGCGGAGCATCTCGCAACTACATGAGCCAGGACTTTATGGTACGCGCCGGCCTTGGCCCATGCGTCCGGAGGAAGTCCCAGCCTATGCAAGTCACGTTGGCAGACGGTCATACGCACAAGTCAATCGACCGGGCATTGACGACGTCCCCGTGTACTTTGCCCCGCATGCACGCGAGGCGGTGTCCTTCGATATTTTGGACACCAAATTCGACATGATCTTGGGCATGTCATGGCTGCGAAGCGAGGATCACCCAGTGAACTTCTATCGCTGCACCGTTCACGTTCGTGATTGGAATGGAGTACTAGTCCCATGCACGGTGCCTCCTCCTCACCCTTCGATCAGCTGCCACGTGGTGTCCGCCGCAAGCATGCGAGCTTCCATCATTAAAGAGGACATCGAGGAGATGGGGGTGTGTTTTCTCCACGCCCTCCCGCCCCATGACACTTCATCGACGGACTCATCTTCGGACCCACGCATCACCGAGTTTCTCGACGCCTACGGCGACGTGTTCGAAGGCCCGCATGGAGTAGCACCGGATCGGCCCATCCGCCACGAGATCATCCTCGAGGACGGGGCTGTACCTCCTCGTGGTTGCATCTACCGAATGAGCGAGGAAGAGCTAAGTGTGCTACGGGCACAACTCGACGACCTTCTTGAGAAAGGCTGGATTCGGCCTAGCTCCTCGCCATACGGTGCTCCCGTTCTCTTCGTCTGGAAGAAGAACAAGGACCTGCGGATGTGCATCGATTATCGCAAGCTCAACGCGCAAACGGTCAAGAACGCCGGCCCTCTTCAACGCATCGACGACCTCCTCGAACGGCTGGGCGGCTCCAAGTTCTTCTCCAAGCCAGACCTCAAATCAGGATATCATCAACTCGAGATCCGGTAGGAGGACCGCTACAAGACCGCGTTTAAGACGTGATATGGGCATTTCAAATGGCTGGTTATGTCGTTTGGCCTTACAAATGCCCCAACCACTTTCCAAGCGGCTATGATAACGGAGTTCCGACACATGCTGGATCGATTCGTACTTATCTACCTCGACGACATTTTGGTGTACAGTCGGAGTTTGGACGAGCATGTGGAACACCTGCACACCGTTTTGGAGCGGCTACGAGAAGCCAAGTACAAAGCCAACCGCGACAAATGCAAATTTACGCGGCAGGAGCTGGAGTACTTGGGACATTATGTGACGCCGCAAGGCATCCGTCCGCTTGCGGACAAGATCGAGGCCAGCCGCGCATGGCCCGAGCCCACCAACGCCACGGACGTTCGTTCATTCATGGGGTTGGCGGGCTACTATCAACGATTCATCACCGGGTACTCAAGGATTGCTGCACCTATAACGAGATTACAATCGCCAAAGGTGCCATTCGTATTCGATGATGACGCACGCCGGTCATTCCAAGCACTTAAGACGGCCATGCTCATGGTACCCGTCCTTAGCATCTATGACCCCACCCTGCCTACGAGAGTGACAACTGACGCTTTCGGCTATGGCATTGGGGCAGTCTTGGAACAATACGACGACGACGACTGGCACCCTGTGGAGTATTTCAGCCACAAAGTGCCTCCCATCAATTCGCTTGTGATGCAAGGAAGAAGGAGCTGCTCTCGTTTGTGATGGCTCTGAAGCGATGGCGGCACTTCCTCCTTGGGCGTCATAGGTTCACATGGGTCACGGACAACAACCCATTGACCTACTACAAGACGCAGGATACGGTGAGCAGCACGATCAGACGATGGATGTACTTCATCGACCAATTTGACTTCACACCGAAACAGCTCCCCGGCCTCTCCAATCGCGCAGCAGATGCACTCTCGCGAAGACCCGATCTTTGCGCTATGACACATCATGCCTTCGCATTCGACCAGGAACTCCAACGACACTTCATCCGGGGCTATGAGTCTGATCCGGACTTCGCCACGTTGTATGCGCAACTATCTTCGGATCACCCGCCCGCCAGCCACTATCGCATTGTCGACGGGTACTTGCTCCTCCACTCGAGAGGCAAGGGCTTACTATGTGTCCCATGAGACCGTCGTCTTCGGACTCGCCTTCTCGGCGAGTATCATGATTCGCGACTTGCTGGCCATTTTGGTGTCAACCGCACTATTGCACGGCTTCGACAACGATTCCGATGGCCCGACCTCATTTCCGATGTCACTCGGTATTGCGACTCTTGCGAAGTTTGCCGACGAAGCAAGCCCCGCAATCGCAACCCCTAAGGCGAGTTGCGCCCGATGCCTATCCCACGGGAACCCGGCCTCTCCATTGCCATGGATGTCACTGGACCATTTCCCTGCGATCGCCTCGAGCACGACGGCATCCTCACGGTCGTGGACCGTTTGAGTAAGTACGCGCGTTTTCTCCCTTGCAAGTACTACTCCACGGCTCCCGAGCTGGCACGCCTCTTGCACACCGGCTGGATTTGCGGCCACGGTGTACCGGAAGACATAGTCAGCGACCGCGACATGTCAGCATTTTGGACTGCTCTCATGTAGGAATCCGACACAAAGATGAAACCAAGTTCAGCTCAGCATCCACAGACGGATGGGCAAACGGAGCGGGCACATCAAACCGCTCAAATGATGCTTTGTACGCTCATCCGTCCTGACCAGAAAGATTTGGTTGACCGCCTCCCCGACATCGAGTTCGCCTACAACACTTCGGTGCACCCGGCGATCAGCGTGACTCCATTCGAGTTGCACCACGGTGGACGGAAAGGCTGTATCTTCGCCGACCTTCTCCTCCCACGACCAGCCGACATCGACGCCGCTTGCTCTCCCGCTTCCGTCCGGGAGTACAGGGAATTGCTGGCTCAAGCTGGCGCGAACATGCAAAAGGCTCAAGTCCGCATGCAGCAGCAAGCCAACAGGCGTCGCGTGCCATGTCCCATCCGCGCCGGTGATCTGGTTTGGGTCTCCGCGGAAGAGTTTGCACTGGAACAGGATGTTTCACGCAAACTGCTTCCCAAGTGGTTTGGACCATGGCCCGTAACATCAACCGCGGGCGATGAGCCCGATGGCCCTTCATTTGTGATCAACATCCCCCCGCATCTGACGGTCCATCCAGTCTTTCACGCCTCGAACCTGGCAACATATACACCAGCTAAGAGCGACGACTTCCCGGGCCGACGATCGCAGGGCCCTCCATCTATGGATGGTCATTAGGAAGTTGACCGCATCATCATGGATCGCAAGTACGGCAGCAAGCCTCGACAGTACAAAGTTACATTCAAAGCATGTGATCCCGACGACACTCGGTGGATTTCAGGAACAGATTTGAAAGCATCCGCACCGCTGATCTACGACGTTCTACGCTCACTACGAGCGACAAAGGTTAGCTCAGGGAACTTCACGACCTGCCCCTCCCACCCGGACTCGGGTCCCTCCCTCAGAGAGACAGCTTCGCCCTCGCAGGTAAGCTCGGTCTTTCAAGGAGGGGGGGGTGTGGCATACTGCGTAGCCACACGGGCCTGCAGGGCCCGTCCCGCATTCTCAGCCTAAAAGCCTAGAAAYAASRGCTTACAGGCCCCRTGTCGTTTCAGCYTGAAAGACTGAAAACGAGGGCCTGCAGGCCCTATGTCGTTTCAGCCTAAAACAGGGCTTTTCAGCCCTGAGGTTTTTCAGCCTGAAACGGAGGGCCACTTTCGTTCCCTCATAAGATCGCCCTGCCCTAGAACTCGGGCAACAAACCAGGGTTTCGGGAACAGGCTATTTTCGGCCTGTTCCCCACGCCAGCCTCAGCAGGAGCTGCAGCGCTAGCCCCTGGCTTACCCTGGCATTGGCAAGAGCAGCCTCCTGGACTGCCTCGCCCTGCAGCTGCAGGCAGTCAGGAGGCAGGCCGAGTAGTACATAGGGAGTTCCCATGCACTTCACAGGGAGGTAGTTGGACAGAAGGCAGGAGGCAGTCTTCAGGATTCGGCAGCAGCACTTCGGAGGAGCGCTGCAGGAGTAGCTTAGCGCTAGCAGTAGTCTTCAGCGTTGGGCGCTAGTAAAAGTAGCAGTNTTCAGGATTCGGCAGCAGCACTTCGGAGGAGCGCTGCAGGAGTAGCTTAGCGCTAGCAGTAGTCTTCAGCGTTGGGCGCTAGTAAAAGTAGCAGTACTCTTCAGCGCTGGGCGCTCGTAGGTGGTAGTAGTAGTGTTGGGGAGAGATGGCTGGTGGAGGCCAGTGAGACTTATGCAATGACTTGCTGATTCTGACTGCCGAGATTGACTGGAAGGCTGTACACTAACCGGTAGGGTTAGATTTGTAATTTTGTTTGGCTGAGGGCTAACCCAGAGACCTACCTGTAAGGAAATTCGTGAGGGACATATCTGCAAATCTAGGAAGTATGGGCCCAGTACTAACTCGTATTCCTACCGCTACCCTAACTGCGTATAGCAGGCCCGGGCTACCCCTAAGACAGACAGGCCCTAAGTGGCCTATGCTGATAGACGGTCCTATAGCCTATAGCCGGGTCCGGTAGAGGCCGAGAGGCCGAAACAGCAACGGTACCGGTCGGTCGGTCAGTCCAGTCTAGGTCTAGTGAGTCTATAGACAGGTTAGGTCCATCGGTTCATGACTTTTGGGCAGTTCATTTCTCGCGAAGCAGGGTTGGAGAAGCCAAGCAAGTTGGTGGCGGTGACTGTCTGCAGGCGGCATCCTGAGACCTCGCCGTTGACAGCAACCATAGCCAGCCCAGTCTGAGTCTGCCATAGCTGGGGCATCCTCAGCGCATCTACCTCGGGGGTATCTGCGTATGGTCGGGCTACATCGAGGCTCCACACTGTGTACTCGTGGGTGGTGGCAGCCATAGCTGCCTGCTCCTTCGTCAGAGTTGTCCATCGGCACTGAAGACTTCATCGCAGGACCTGTTCTTCATCAGGGTGGTTGGCGCTGGCCTCTAGGAGGCCATTCTGATGTGGCACTACTAACTGGGTGTAGGATAGAGAGTGGGGTGTGAGTTCTGAGAGTGGCGAGATACTGGAACAAACTCTCTTACGATAATTGTTTGAGTTGGCTCAACATCAATGTCATTTCAATTGTTATCCTCGCAGGTTCTACTTGTGATTGGTTGTTGGGAGTTTGTCAGAGAGTGAGAAACACTGTGTGTCTTCACCCCATCTGTGCATAGCTGTATTTCGCTGCCTACTCTGATCTGTGTGCAGTGTGGACTCTATCTCCTCTCCCCCTTCTCTTATGCATGTATGGGCGTGTATGAGATTGTCTGTGTGTGAGTGGCGGTAAAAATCGTCAGACAACCAAGATCATAACAGTTGGTATCGGAGCTGGGATTGGAATTGGAACACTGAGGGTTGAGCGCGCTGAGGCATCTTCTTCATCTGGCGATCTACTGGCGAGAATTTCATGGCGATTCATCTTCCCCAGTACTGAGTCAGCAGGGAAGAAGACTTTCAGCGGTGGATTCAAGTGTTCAGTGGTTGCACTGAGCAAGCGCACTGAGCCTGTCAGGGCGCTTGTAAGGAAGTGGCGAGTACATGGCTGATTCGCCATAGCCAACCTTGAGGGTAATATTGCGAAGTACCCCAGAGTGGCGAATTACCCCTGAGGACATCAAGGAACCCTAAGCGGCATCATCCCTGGGTAGCGCTGGCAGAGATTGACAATCTGTATCAATCTCCAGGATAAATAACCCCATCTGGGGCTATTTTTAGTATCGGCGGCTACAAGGCACTGTGGCAAGATATTTTGGAGTTGGCATACTAGGCGCCACAGGACCAGATACAATGGAGCTGGGTTGAGGGAGTGCAGCGCTACAGGATCCTGAGGAGGATCAACAAGTTTGAGGCAGTTATGTGCGTGGGATTATCAGGAGGAATATCTGGAAGAGGCGAGATAAGGGTATCACCTGCCATAGCCAGATCTTCATCAATACCTGCAAGATTCTCTGAAAGTGAGTCCGTTCCATGCACCTACCTGTATTGCGATCCAGATAGTATTAGTTTAGTCGATTATAATGGTCTATCTGTCTGTCAGTGACTGGATGGAAAAGTCGCAGACTGCATGACAGCCATAGTCATCTCTCCCCTACTTCTCTCTACTCATTTCTAACCCTCTGTTGACTCTTTTCAATCCAAAATTGTTTTGTGACTACCTTACTGCATTGCGATTATACTGGGAGGCTCAAATTGTGAATTTTGTACTAGAAAGGTAATAATACTGTGAATTATAGTTTTGCGCTGAGTCTATTTATAGCCTGGGCTAACTAGGGTCAGTCATAACTTTAGTTCTGTCCGTCAGAATTCCATTCTGTCAGACCCCAGTGAATCGCAATCCAAAAATAGGTAATACTGCAGAATCGTAGAGTTGGAATTACAGTATTTCACTGGATACAGTGAATACTGTACTTCGCCATATCCTAGGGTATGACCGCCAGAGTCATCAGGGTCTAAATTGGAGTCTGAGTCAGGATATAGGGTAACTGTCTGCATCGCTTATTGTGGTTGATCTCTCTTGTCTGTACTAACCATGTTCTATCATTCCCACTGACTACTCTTGCTTTCTAGTGGGCTCTGGAATTCTAGTGTGTCTCTGGAAGAGTAGTGGAGTGACTCTACTAGCTCCAGTGTGGTCCAGGATCAGTAAAAGGAAATCGTGTGACTGATTTTGCTGGACTTACAGTCTGTCTGACACCTGACCCCAGGGACACCTGTCCAACCCAAACCGTTGATTGCCCATTCACCCACATATTCCAGTCTTGAGAGTTTGCAGCGATTCCAGGGTATCTGAAGGAACCTGATTATCGCTGCACACTCAGGTTGCTGTTTTATTTTTGGTTTTATTTTGAAAAAGGAAATGTCTGATCAAGGGACTCAGCAGCAGCCACAGGTGGAAGTGGTGATGAAGGTGGAAGGTGAACAACCTTCAACCTCCACTCCTCCTCCTCCACCTCTGACTGCTACTCAGCGGATGAAGGAGTTGGAAGAACAACTGCGGCAGTAGCAGGCCAAGCTTGCAGCGTTGGAATAGCAGGAGGCAGCTGAGCTAGAGGCTGCAACAGATCATTCCAGAAGAGAATATATGTTGCAGCAGCTAAACAAGGCGCTCACAGATGATCGTTGTGCCCAGGTCACCAAGCACATGGCAGAGATGATCCTACTAGAACACAAGATCACCAGTTCACAATTCACGAACTGGGATGACTGCTTTGTGCGATTGGAGCGTCGGGTTGATGACCTGTCAGCTCAGCAGTCTAAGATCCTGGATGCTATCCAGAGCTTGACTGCTCAGCTGCCAGCCGCCAAGCTGATTGCCCCTCAGCTCCCTCTGTTGAAACCCAAACCTTCTCCTCCTTCTTCGCCCCCTTCCACTCCCCCTGGTTCAGTTCATTCTTCCCGGTCACCATCTCATTCCCAAAAGGCCTCAGGCAAGGCCACCTATGCTGCTGTTACTGCAGGAGACCAAAGAGGTCCCAAGATCCCTGCTCCCAACAAGTTCAGGGGCGATGACCCCAAGACCGATGTTGGGGACTGGGCTGCTGGGACCAGGGCCTACTTGAGGGGCTTTGTCTACGCAGAACAGACCAAGGTGGCGACTGTCCTGGGGCTGCTGGAAGGGCCTGCACTGAAGTGGGCCACTTCCACTTCCAGTAGTCTGCAACAGTCCATGGAGGACTGGGCTTTTGGGCTTGGGGTGGACAAATTTCTGCAGGCCCTGGAGGACCGATTTGCAGACAAGGAGCGAGCCCGCAAGGCTGCTGACAGGATTGCTCGCCTGGGACAGCAGCGGTACAGTGGGACTCTGCAGGCCTTGTTTGCTGAGTTTGAGCAACTCACCTCCACCCCTGGGTTGGTCATGTCCACAGATGATCTGCTGACCAACTTTTGCAAGGCAGCGCCTGAGAAATTTGTTGTTGCACTGTATAGCGCTGGGCACAAGGACTGGAGGTCCTTTGGCCGCGCAGCCCTGGAAATGGAGGCAAAGCTCCATGTCCAGGCCCCATCCTCTGATAGGAGGAAAGGTGCCTTCCCTAGAGGTGGCAGAAGGGGAAAGGCAGCCTTCACTCATGTGGGATCTGCATCAGGATGAGATTCAGATTCCCAGGATGATGCACCTTCAGCTGGGACTGGATCTGTTGCTGATCTAGATGTTGCGGCAGCCGTGACTCAGGCTGTTCTGGGAGTTGTGCAGCTGCAGAGGAAGTTCTCCCTCACCACAGCCTCAGCCACTGCCAAGGGGAAGGATAAGGGACGTCGGCCTTCCTCTTCCCAGCGCCCTAACTTGCCCAAAGATGTCCAGATGCCTGAGGTGCGAGGGGCAGCACTTCCTGAAGGACTGCCCTTACATGCCAGGCCCAAGTCAGTCAAAAAACTGAAACAGACCCTGGGGACTGCAGTTCCCCCCCGTGCTGCACCTTCATCTACGCAGGTAGATGAATCTGCAGCTGTTTCAGTTGAGACTGTATGTGATGATGATTGTTTGGGGACTGCGAGGGCAGCATCCTTCTGTTATGAGGATCCTGACCCGGATCAGGACCCGGGGCAGGATGAGCTTCAGTCACTTGCAGCGTTCTTCCTTCACCTGAAGGAACAGAAGAAGTGCAAGTCTTATCTCATCATGCTTCGGCCCCTGATCAACCACACCAGGATCACTGGGCTTTTGGACTGTGGAGCCACCAGGAACTTCATGTCTCCCAGTGCAGTTAAAAAGTTGCATTTGGGCATGAAAGTTCAGCAGCTGCAGCAACCACTGCTGGTGAGGATTGGTGACTCTACAGTGCTGAGCATCAGGGAGAGGGTCAAGGGTATCCCTATGACCTTCGACAGTGTTGGAGAAGTCAGACATAGTCTGAACTTCTACATCTTCCTTGAGCTGCCCTTTGAATTGGTATTCTCTATGCAGTGGCTGAAGGCAGTCAACCCAAGGATCGACTGGCAGATCCCAAAGATTGAGCTACCTAATAGCCAGGGTGTGTATCAGCCATGCATAATTGTTGCCGATCACCACCCTAAGACATCTTGCTACTGCCTGAGAGTTAGAGAGTTTCATGCTCTCTCACGCCAGTACCACCACGAGCGTCTGTTTATTGCTCTGGTCAAGCAAACAGATGCTCCCCCTGTTTCCTGTCCTCCTGAGATACAGCAGGTGGTAGATCAGTATGCTAATCTGATGCAGGAGCCCTTTGGGTTACCCAACCGGCCAACCAAGCATCGCATCGAGCTGCTGCCTGGAGCGGTCCCTCCTAAGGGCCGCATCTACAGGATGTCCCCTGCTGAGCTTGAGGAGCTCAGAAAGCAGCTTGAGACCCTGACCAGCAAGGACTGGATCAGACCCAACACTTCTGAATTCGGTGCACCTGTTCTCTTTGTGCCCAAAGGGAACGGTGAGTTCAGAATGTGCATTGACTACAGGGGTCTCAATAAGATCACTAGGAAGAGTACTGAGCCGCTTCCTAGGATCGATGACCTCTTGGACATGGCGCAGGGCTGCACAGTGTTCAGCAAAGTCGACCTCAAATCTTTCTACCACCAGATTGAGATGGCAGAGGAGGATGTCTATAAGACAGCCTTCAAGACCAGGCTGGTCATGCCATTTGGACTTTGCAACGCCCCAGGCACCTTCCAGACAGAGATGCACCGCATCTTCAGGCCTTACCTGGACAAGTTTATGGTTGTCTACCTGAATGATATCCTGGTATTCAGCAAAACTGCCAGGGAACATGCGGAGCACTTGGCTCTTGTCCTTCAGTCGTTACGTGACAGCCAGTACAAGATCAACAGAGAAAAGTCCTCTTTTGGAGTTCCCTCTGTCATCTACCTGGGTCATGTAATCTTTGGAGATGGCCTGGCTCCTGAAGCAGCCAAGATTGCTGCTATTCAGGAGTGGCCTCAGCCTCAGACAGTGAGGGATGTCAGGTCCTTCATGGGTTTAGCCTCCTACTACGGAAAGTTTGTCAGGAACTTTTATGCAGTGGCTGCACCCCTGACTAACCTAACAAAGAAGGACACTCCCTTTCTTTGGTCCCTCCACTGTCAGTTGGCCTTCACACGACTCAAGAAGGCCTTGACTCGTGCGCCTGTGCTGAAGTTACCTGACCCCACTTTGCCATTCATCCTGACCACTGACGCTAGTCAGTATGGCATTGGGGCAGTTCTTCAGCAGGATGATGGGAATGGTCTACGGCCTGTAGAGTTTATGAGTAAGAAGATCAGGACTCAAAAGCTCCAAGACTCCACCTACGAGAAAGAGCTATATGCTCTTGTCTGTGCCCTGAAACATTGGAAACACTTTCTCCTGGGCAGGCACTTCAAGATCTTTTCAGATCACTCCACCCTCCAGTGGATGAAGTCCCAGGGAGAGCTTAATGATAAGTTGGCACGATACATTCAGTTCATTGACATGTTTGACTTTGAACTGAAGCATAAGAAGGTCTGCTACAATAAGGTAGCAGATGCCCTCTCTCGTAGGTCTGACTCTTTTGCGCCGATCTCCTCTACTCACTCCTTTGGAGAGGAGACCCATCAGACCATTGCTCGTCTACTGCCTCAGGACGAGACTTTCGGGCCCATTGTCAGGAATCTGCAAACAGATCCTAACTCTGAATCAGGCTATACTCTGAGTTCAGACCTGCTGTATACTTACAGCAGAGGAGAGGAGCGCTTGTGCATTCCCCAGGACCAGCGGCTCAGGACACTGCTGATGTCAGAGTGTCATGATGCCCGTGGACATTTTGGGTTCCTAAAGTCTTATGCAGCCCTGTCGCAGCGCTTCTTCTGGAAGGAGATGCGGAGTGATATGCTGCGTTATGTGGACACCTGTGAGCTCTGCCAAAGGGATAAGGTCCACCGTAGACCTCCTTTGGGACTGCTCAAACCCTTACCCATACCTGATGGCCCTGTTGAATCTGTGTCGATAGACTTCACAGATTTAGGCAAGACCACCCCTCGTGGCATGCGTCAGGTTATGGTCTGCGTGGACAGGTTCGCCAAATACGCAGAGTTCATCCCCTTGCCAGAGGTAGCTAGGGTACCGGCTGTGAGAGCAGCCTTATCCGAGAGGTGGGTCACACACCATGGACTGCCCACTTCTATAGTCAGTGATCGAGACCCCAGATTTTGCAGCGATGAGTGGCAGTCCTACTGCAAGGACTATTTGCACTCACGACTGGACATGACTTCTGGTCACCATCCTGAAGCCAATGGTTTGGCTGAAGTGATGAACCAAGTCTTATTCCAGTTGCTGCGTCCTGTCATCTCTCCAGATCAACAGGACTGGGATCTTCACTTAGCGAGGGCACAACTCATGTATAACATGTATGTCCACTCCTCGATAGGGTTCAGTCCCTACCAATTGCACTGGGGGCGAGAGCCACGTCAGCCTCTCGATGATCTCATCGATAAGGCTAAGCCTGATCTGACACCAGGCACAACAGAGTTCACCAGACGTTATCGTTTGGATGTGGAAAGAGTGCGAGCGAACTTGTTCAAAGGCTATGATTGAACAAGCTAATCGCCATAGGTGGCCTTCCCACATCCGCACTGGTGATCATGTTTGGGTGGCCAGTTTTGAGCTGTCGAGGGAGGAGGATATCTCTCCCAAGTTGTTGCCACGTTACCTGGGTCCATGGCAGGTCCTAGATACAGTGGGCGCTGATCCCTTCGGTCCGTCCTACATTATTGACGTCCCACTACGTCTACGTACCTACCCGGTCTTCCATGCATCTAAGCTACTTCCTTTCACTCCAGCTGATGGATTCCCAGACCGGCCCCCTCAATTCGGTCCACCGATCCCTGGCAAGGGATATGACATGGAATGGATTGAGGACGAGTGGGGCACAGGCCCCGACCAACGGTATCTTGTGAGGTTCGCATTCCAGCCTCCTTCTGAGAACAGATGGTTCTACAGAAGGGAACTTCTCAAAACAGCAAAGTCAGTTGTTTTGCGATATGAAGCAGCTCAGAAGGGCAACCTTCCTCGCCTTTCACCTCGCCTGCATCCCTAGCTCGGAGGTCCTCGCTCCCGGGGAGGGTAAGCCTGCAATGACTTGCTGATTCTGACTGTCGAGATTGACTGCGAGGCTGTACTCTAACCGGTAGGGTTAGATTTGTAATTTTGTTTGGCTGAGGGCTAACCGAGAGACCTACCTGTAAGGAAATTCGTGAGGGACATATCTGCAAATTTGGGAAAATATTGGCCCAGTACTAACTCGAATTCCTACTGCTACCCTAACTGCGTATAGCAGGTCCGGGCTACCCCTAGGACAGACAGGCCCTAAGTGGCCTATGCTGATAGACGGTCCTATAGCCTATAGCCGGTTCCGGTAGAGGCCGAGAGGCCGAAACAGCAACGGTACCAGTCGGTCAGTCAGTCCAGTCTAGGTCTAGTGAGTCTATAGATAGGTTAGGCCCATCGGTTCAGGACTTTTGGGCAGTTCATTTCTCGCGAAGCAAGGTTGGAGAAGCCAAGCAAGTTGGTGGCAGTGACTGTCTGCAGGCGGCATCCTGAGACCTCGCCGTTGACAGCAACCATAGTCGGCCCAGTCTGAGTCTGCCATAGCTGAGGCATCCTCAGCGCATCTACCCCGGGGGTATCTGCGTATGGCCGGGCTACATCGAGGCTCTACATTGTATACGCGTGGGTGGTGGCAGCCATAGCTGCCTGTTCCTCATCAGGGTGGTTGGCGTTGGCCTCTGGGAGGCCATTCTGATGTGGCGCTACTAACTGGGTGTAGGATAGAGAGTGGGGTGTGAGTTCTGAGAGTGCCGAGATACTGGAACAAACTCTGTTACGATAATTGTTTGAGTTGGCTCAATATCAATGTCATTTCAATTGTTATCCTCGCAGGTTCTACTTGTGATTGGTTGTTGCGAGTTTGTCAGAGAGTGAGAAACACTGTGTGCCTTCTCCCCATCTGTGCATAGCTGTGTTCCGCTGCCTACTCTGATCTGTGTGCAATGTGGACTTTGTCTCCTCTCCCCCGTCTCTTATGCATGTATGGGCGTATATGAGATTGTCTGTGTGTGAGTGGCGGTAAAAATCGTCAGACAACCAAGATCATAACACTTACCTGTGGCGCCATAGCTCCATCTCCATCTTCGAGGTACCTGCATTCGAGGTACCTGCATCAAGGCGCCAGCTTCACAGGTTAGTACCGGAC